AACTTTTTTTAAAAAAATTACTCATACTACTGTAAGAAAATCTTTGTCTAACTCTTTGATTATGTGCCTATGTCCATGCATAGTGGCTTTAGAGGCTCCCCGTGGTGGCCATGCCACAGCCTGGCCCTAATGGCACCAGCAACTCAACAGTGCAAACTAGCTGAAGAAAGGGGGGCTTTTGGTACAATCCTTGGGAAGGTACTGAGGAGCATGCTTTCTGGAAGGGGCACATGTCTCAGGAGGAGCCCAGGGACGAGACCCGGGGCCCAGCACTGCCCACTCTTTCCTCTCTTCTCTGGTCCTTACTAGCTTACACTGGGCCTCCTTTCTTGTAGAAGAATCTTCGCCAGGCAGTGGGGGAAGGTGGGTGCCTCTAAATGCTGTCTGCTCCTCTGAGGGATACTGGGCTTCCCACAGTCCATTTGGAAGGCTGCAGGCCCCCTTGCTTCCCCTGCCTCTCTGGCTATGGCCTGCAACCCAAGAGGTTGCACCAAAGCCAAGTGGTGTGTGTGTGTGTGTGTGTGTGTGTGTGTGTGTGTGTGTGTGTGTTGGGGTGGGGCACAGTGTGCTGTGTCATTCCCGTCACACTCCTTTCACACATCCATCCATCCCTGACCTGCTGGCCTTGGTATCTCTGCTTCAGCGTCCAGTAGAGGACCACAGGGACAGGGGAGGAGGTCACGTCAGCGGCCCCCATGCTGGCTTGGCCACCAGCTGGGCCACAGGAGAGAGGGCTCTCCTGAGGCACTTGGCCCTCTTAATACATCTTGGATGAGTGAGCCACTGGTTGAAAACTGGTTATTTTTTTGTGTGGTACTTTGAGATCTATCATCTTGGGTTTTTTTTCATCTCCAAAGTTTAAAGTTTTTGTGTACAAAGTTCTATGTTTTAATTACAGGCAGTCCCATTTCCTTCTCTTGTATGACCTTGCTGACTCTTATGGCCCTGCCCTGGTTCACTTGGTGAGATGCAGAGAAGAAAGACCCTTCCTTCCCTGGGCCACTTAGGATGCCTCTTCAGGAGGGTCAGCCCAGTGCCACCATCCTGCAGTGTATACCCAGGCTCCAGGGCTGGCAGCTGTGTCCTTGGGTGCCCACTCAACCCCTGAACAGGCAGAGAGAAGTCCTGAAGGAAACCAGGGAAGCTCACCAAGCTTCCAGGGCTGCCCACCTTCCCCCCTCTCCTCCTCCTACCTCTCTACCCCCTTCCTCCCACAGTCCTGCTCCTCCCCCTCCTACCTTCCCAGACAAAGTGGATAATGGGTCATTTCTGCCTCCACTTGTCCACATTTCTCACCCCCAGGGCCTCTGGGCCTCCTTCCTAGTCTGTCTAATTAGCTGGCTTATATCCTAACAATGGAAGAGATCCAGGGAATGAAGGAGGATCCTGAGCTGCTTCCAGCTAATCCTATGGCAAGTCTCCAGAACCCCAGTCCTCCCTGACTTATGGACCTCTCCAGGGAGGCACATTTTGCATGCATTTTTTTCTCCTTTTTAAATTATACCAGTAATCCATGTTGATTGTAGAAAAATTTTAAATTTGATCAAATAGAAAAACGAACATTCCTTCTAATCCTATCACTTAAAGAGATCTAATGTGACTCTTTGGAATTTAACTCTATACTTCTTTGTCCTGGAGTCAGGTACATCTTAAACCTGATGTTTAGGGGTGCCTGGGTAGCTCAGTCAGTGAAGTGTCTGCCTTTGGCTCAAGTCATGATCTTGGGGTCTTGGGATGCAGCCTCACAGCAGCCTGCTCCCTGCTCAGCAGGGAATCTGCTTCTCCCTCTCCTTCTGCCACTCCCCCTGCTTGTGCATGGGCTCTCTCTCATATAAATAAATCTTAAAAAAAAAAAAAACTGATTTTTAAAACCAGTAGGTGCTCACGTTGTATATAAACAGGTCAGGTTGTATGTAAATGAGATATGCAAAAAACAAATCATGGTGGGGTTATGGGCAGTTTTCAGGTCATTCAAAATTATCTTTAATGCTGTTACTTCGCCTTTTAAGTGGAAACAGATTGTAATTACACCTCACTTCTAATGGACCTCAACTGTCTTAATTGCTGCTACTGCCATAAAAATGCACTGCTAGTTTTGTATCAGAATAAATGTATCACCTCACATTTTGCAGGTGAAAAGTCTGAGTGGGTCGAGCTGGTGCCTCTGCTCTAGATCCCACAGGCCACATCAAGATGGCTGATCCGAATTCTTCTCCAGACAGTCGGTGGGAGAATTGGGACTCCGACTCATTCAGGTTGCTGGCAGAATTTGGCTCCACATGGCTATAGGACTGAGGTCCCCCTTCCTTGCTGGCTGCCAGCCAGGAGTCCTTCTCAGCTTCTGGAAGTCGTTCTCAGCACATTCCCTGGCTCATGGTCTCCTTCATCTTCAAACCAGCAACGGTTTGAACGGTCTAGCCGTTTTCATACTTCAAATATTTCTGGCCTCCTCTTCTGCCCTTTTGGGGATCCTCCTGGGAGCTCCTGGGTGTGATCTGAAGCCAGCCCACAGACACGGTGGACCGGGAGGGACAGAGGCAGGCCACTCCCAATGGGCTGAATGAGCTCAGGAATCTGAGCTAGGAGGTGGTCTTGGGGGCTGCAAGGTGGTGGACCCTGTGCCCATCCACCACATCCTAAAGGTTCAGAGGGAGGCTTCACTGGGGTCCAGTCACATACCCCCTCCCTCCTGATGGTCCCAATACCACATCACTATCCCAAGTCTGTCCTGGGGGAAGCTTCTGGGAGCAGGCAAGGCAACTGGAACCCACATTCCAAGGACAGGAGAAGGGATGAGTAGCCTCCATCACCTAGGTCCAACTCACAGGTCGTATCTTCTCATTGACCTTCCCTGCAGCCTCACCTCTGTGCCTTCAGCCAAAGAAAGTTCTCTACTTTGAAGGAATCCTGTGATTCGATTGGGTACACTTGGTTAATCCAAGATCGTCTCCTTATTTTGTGGTCTGTAACCTTAATTACAACTGCAGAATCCCTTTTGAAGTATCGAATAACAGAGTCACATTTGAAGCACAGAATAAGAGTCACAGGCTCCAAGGACTGGGAGGCATGGATGTTTTGGGGGAGAACGTTCTGTCTACCACGCTGTCTCCCTGTGCTGATAAGCCCATCTTTACATTTTAAATTGGACCCAATCTCCTGGATATTTTAGCTCACATGGGATGATGGGAGCAGGCCCATCTTTACCACTGATTAAATGTGACTGGCTGGGAGTCCACAGACCCACAGAGAGGTCACTGAGTAGAATTCTTTAGAAGGTATCCATACCATTCTTGTAAAGCAAAAAACAGTATATCCTGGTACTCAACATCCCACAGGGAAGGCCTTCATTCAGATGTCTTATGCAGGTGATCTAGGCATTTCTTTCAGAGCCAAGTCCTCTCACCTGCCTCCAACAGTATGCTTGCCGCGTTCTCAGATCCTGGCTGTCCAGAGACTAGCTCCAACTTTCCCTCCACTATTCCACTGTTATTAATTAGTTTTGTGGATGAAAATGGAGTCCAAGAACTTCAATAGCCAGTCATAAGGAAACCCCGTTGTCTGGAAAGGGAAACATAGGGGCACTGCCAGATGTGGCAGCTTCCAGATGACATGGTAGCCAATGCCCATATCATCATTATAAGCCATTCTGTGGCATAGAGATTCAACAGATTTTCATCACCCCAGTCCCAATTTCTTCATCTGGAAAATGGGAATAATAATACCAACCTCAAGGAATTTGTTGCAAGACTTAAGTGATGTAATGTATACAGAATCACCTAGCACAGCACCCTGGCTTATAGTGAGTGCTCAACAAGTGCTAGCTTGCTTGCTACACCACTGTCACCCCAGGTCCCATCCCCATAACCACTGCCAGGGTGAAAATACTTTCTAAAGAAGGGGCATGTGTGAGTGATTGTTCACAATACCGGTTTTGGTATTGTGAGAGCTGGGGGAGGATATAAGTATTATAAATGAGAGCTTAATCTAAAGTTGATTTTTGCAGTGTTTGGCAGCCCCATAGACTGGAGGATCTTGATCACCTCCTTTCATCACATCGTTATGAGAGCTTGTCCCTGTCATCACCCCTTCTCTCTGGCTCAAGGGGCACCAGAAAATAAATGCAGAGGCACAGAGTGAAACATCACTTTATTTCAGCAGATTATCTACACTCAACTGCTTTTGCTAAATTTTAATAAAAGTAAATACATGTGGGTCCTGGTGGTATATCCTCTAAACCAGTGGGGGAAATGACCTAACTATGCACAGAAAATTCTGGGTCTAAGGGGGAGGAGCAGGGGAGGTTAGGGCTCTCTGTCCCCCAGGGTAATGACTCAGAGCTGAATCCCACCTCCTCCCTTGTAAGCAGAAACAGTGGCCAAGGGCTTCCCCGTTGGCTTGAGGTCACAGTTGAGGTCCTGTTAGATCCAGAAGCCAGGTGTCCTGACTGCCTGCCCACTGTCCCCAGCTGGAAACCCTTGGTCCTCCCTCCTCATAATCTCTAAGGGGAGTGGGGGACCCAACTATTTTTACAAGAGTCCAGAATGGATCAACGTTTTGGGGAACAGGAGTTCTGTTTTAGACCTCCTCCCTACCTAGGGAAAACCAGGAGATTTTTTAAAATTCTCTTCTAATTCTCATAATGTAATGGGGTATATCAGTCTGTTTCTGCAGTTCACATCACAAGGCGTGTCATCCCATACGCAGCTGAGGATTTGCTGGAGAGAAGCTCCCAGCTACCAGTCTGTCCATGCCCAGCTGCATCTTTTCACAAGTAGGCTGGGATTTCCTTCTAAAGCTCGGTAGTCCTCACTGCTGTGTTAGTGACTCTTGGAAGTGCTTAGGTGGGTGAGGCTCAGGAGGACAGGAAACAAAAGACCATGCAGCAGAGGTAAAGCAGGGACGAGTTGGGCCGGGGGTCACTAAGGAGGATTTTCACACCTACATCAAGACCTGCTTCTGTGCACCTGTCCGGTCAGAGGCCTTGGCACTGCACCCCACACCTAAGGCTCCAGCTTCCTTGGCACGGGCATCCCGTCCCAGGAGCAGCTACACTTCTGCACCCTCATGTTGGGCAGGCTGACCACCCGGGGCCTGGGCCTGCCTCCCTCCTTGACAGTGACGATCATGGGCAGCGATGTCGTCTCCGAGGGGACGCACTGCCGTGGCCCCAGGAGTGGCCACTCGAAGGGCAGGGGCCGCGGGGGCTGCTGACAGGTGCCCACACACTCGTAGGCCAGGAACCCGGGGGGCTCCAGGACCCAGTTCTCGGCCCACTTCATCCCCCGCAGGTCAATGTACACCTCCTGGCGGCAGCAGCGGGCAGCCTGCGTCACCGGCACCTCGGGGTCACAGTCGCCCTGAGCTCTGCGGGGACAAGGAGAGGCTGGGGTCAGCTGAGGGTGCCCGGGGCAGGGGGAAGGCCCTGGGGGAGGGGCGCGTCTAGGAGGGAAGTGTTCCATCCTGGCAGTGTTCAGACGGCTGCTTGTGATAAGGCTGGATGACTACCAGTGGCCAAACAGCACAGAACAAGTGCCATCAGCCCCGAGAGTGGCCGGAGAAATTTCCCGCACCCGCACCCCAAAAGAGCCCCTTCGACGGAGGTGGCAGTCCCTAGGTGCCCCATCCACAGGCCCGGCGCCTACCCGTAGGTCCCCAGGTCCAGGGTGTGCAGCTCCAGCCGGGGCTCCCCCTGCCCGGCGCCCGTGGGCCCCTGGGAGGCAAAGCGCACCAGCCTGTGGGCACCGGAGGCCGGCGGGCCCAGGTGCTCCCTCTGCACCGACACCTGCAGGAGCAGGGGCTGCCGAGGCCGGCTCAGCTGCTGCCAGAAGGTCACGGCCTCCGTCACGTCAAAGGCCTTCCAGCCGCTCTCGTGGAGGGACACCAGCCTGCGTGCCACAGGGGGGCCAAGGGGGACAGGGGCCTGAGCTGGGGAGGAGGGGGGTGGGTCCCGGGGGTGGGGGTGGCTCCCCTCCGCGCCACCCCGCTGGGGACGCCCCCAGCCCCCTCCCCTCCCGTCCCCTCCCGTCCCCTCCCCGCCGTCTCCCCCAGCTGGGACCCGCCCCCTGGCGCTCCCCTCCCTCCCCGCCCCGCCCCGCTCGCAGCCCCCACCTGGAGTCCACCAGGGAGGTGCGGTTGGGGCCGTGGTCTCGGACTTGCAGCCACTCGATGGTGACGCGGGCGCGGGCGCTGTGCGGGGACAGCCGCTGGAGCCTGCGGAGCGCCGCCCTGGGTACCGGCTCCTGGAAGAGGCGCAGCACCGCCCGCAGCAACTCACTGTTGGGGGGCAACCGCTGCTCCATGCCAAACACCAGCAGGTGCGTGGAGGCCTCTGTCGCCAGCCACCTGCCGGCCACCTCTGGGGACAGGCATGGGGTTAGGATGCCTCTCCAGCCTCAGGGCAGCTTCAAGGGGCAGCAGAGCCCAGAGTCTGCACAGAGGACTGGGGGCTGGGGTTCACCTCAAGTGCACAGACTTGCAGCCTTTCTTTTTGTTTGCGTTTTAAGATTTTACTTTTATTTATTTTATTTTGTTTTATTTCATTTCATTTCATTTTGGTGGGGGGGGGGGCAGAGGGAGAGAGACCATCTCAAGCAGGCTTCTTGCTCAGTGCAGAGCCCAGGGCAATGTCACCAACCTGAGATTATGACCCCAGCTAAAATCAAGAGTCCATACTTAACCAACTGAGCCACCTGGGCACCCCTAAGATTTTATTTTTAAGTCATCTCTATGCCCAGTGTGGGTCTCAAACTCAAAACCGGGACATCGGGAGTCCAGTGTTCCACCGACCAAGCCAGCCAGGCCCCTGGACATGCAGCCTTCTTTGGGCAAAGAGGACACAGCAAAAATGGGAGGGCCAGTGGAGAGAGAGGGAGAGAACCCCACCATGGAAATCTCTGGTCCTAAGAGTGTCCTAAGAGGCAGAGCAAGAGCCCTGAATTCCTCTCATTTCCCTGTCATGCCCAGGGAGATGTCCCCACCTGGAGGAAGAGGAATCCAGGGCCTATAAACAGCTTTTGCCGGGCAGAGGCAGGACATGTACAGCACCCTCCTCAGATACACCAGTCCATGTGTCCCTGACACCTGGGGCTCCAGGGTGGCAGCCTCATCGGCAGACCTGCCGGCCACACGGCTGCCAGCAGTCACCTCTGCTGAGTCACCAGGCCTCCAGGCACCTGACCCGGCCTGGCTGGAAAGCAGGAGGTGTGGGTCTGTGTCCAGGCACTGAGGAGGTGAGCCCCAGCCCCAGGGAGGCAAGAAGGTGGGGTGGGATTCACACCTGGCCCAGCTCTGATAGGCTGACTTTAAAATGCTGGAATGGGCCCTCCCAGGTCGTCTCATAAATGGCCCATGGGTCTGGGAGGTAGTCAGAGCTGCTTTACCCTCATTTCACAGAAGCCACCGGGCTCAGAGCTGTTGGGTGACTCGTCCAGGGCAGGACAACAAGTACCAAAGCTGAGTCCCAAGCCCAGGGGTCCCTCCACTGCTCCTGGCCGGCATGCAGATCCAGACAGGGCCTGGATACAGCCGTCCTCGCTGTCCACGGGCCCCCGTCCCGGCTCTGCCGATGGCCTCCCCAGAACGGGCCCCCCCACAAGGACCGGGATGCGGCAGCCAGCAGGCAGGTCTCACCTCGGAATCTCTGGCTGAACCTCTTCCCTCGGGAGTGGGCCCCATGGCTGCGCCGCAGCAGGGCCACGTACTGGGCCGTCACATGGGCAGGGGTGACCAGTGCCTCCACGTCGCCCTCATCCAGGACAGGCACCTGGCTGAGGTGCAGCTGGCGCAGCAGGCCTCCCAGGATCCGCTCCCCGCTCAGGGCAGCTCCGGGGCCGGTCAGGGGCAGCGCCCACAGGGCCCAGCACAGCCACATGGGCGTCATGGTGCCGCTGGCTGGGGAGGAGGACGAGGAACAGAGCTGACGTGCCCCTGGGAGGCTTCAGGAGGGTCCCAGCCAGCTGTGCGGAGGGCCAGGCTGGGCCAGCTTTATAGGCAGCTCTGGGCCTGGCTGGGGTGGAGGGAGGGAAGGGGGGAGGCCAGAAGGGAGGCCTGGAGAGAGGAAGGTCACACCCCTCGGACCTCCTGGGAGCCCAGCAGCCAAACAGGTCCAGGAGCCTGGAGGAGGGGGCTGTCTAGAAGGGGCACTAGAGCCTGTCTGGTTGCCACACCAGCCTGGGGCCTCTGGCTGCTGCTGTCTGGGCAGCTCAGGGCTAACTTTAGGGCATGTTGACTTTTCCTGGCCCTACCCCAGTCCTAGTCTATGAAGAAGTGGGCCTATTCTGTAAGAAAGAGAATCCTATTAGGCAGCTATTGAAATCTCCTTCCTGGAGGCCAGTCTGGGTCTCCGTGTGTTCGTCGGGAAGGAAGGAGGGAGAGGATTCTGAATTCCTGTCTGCTCCTGGCCAGGCCCCATTCTGTGAGCTCTCACAGAAGTCCCTGGACCCCCATCCCCCACACTCTCTACAGTCCCCCTCCTGCTCCTCTCCACAGACCCTCAGAGGACCGTGTCCTGTCTGTGACTGAGGAAGCTGCCGCTGTCAGGCCCAGCTCTCTGGCTGTCCCAGAAAGGGCAGTTTTGCAAGTGTCTTCACAGTCACACGACCGACCTCAGAGTGGGAAAAGCCATGCAGGCTGTGCCAGTCACTCTGGGAGCACTCCACACCGTGAGCCTGGCCTCAGGCTCACATGGGTGCTCAGGTGGACCCGGAGCAAGGGACAGGGACCTAAAAAGCGAGGTCATAGCTGCCCAGAGTCATGTCCTGTCCAAAGCCTGAAGTATGGAGCACATGGGGGTGGGAGCCTCTCAGGGCCTCCCAAACACATAGTTTAGGTTGGCTGGGTGCAAGTATGGGGCCTGTGTGCTTAACTGGCTGTTTGACCTTCTAACAAGATCCTGAAGGTCTTAGTGACTCAGTTTCCCCATCAGAAGGAGGGGTGATAATAATCGGGTCTACTTCACAGGACTAGTCTGGAAATCAAATGCATTAACATGTGGAGGATGCATAGCCCAGAGCCTGGTATACCGTAACCACACTATAAGGGTTACCTGTGGCCTTTCTAAAAATGGCCACAACAACAACAATCATTTCTTGAGTGCTCACTGTGCCAGGCACTATTCTCATCTCTGAGCATGTGTTCACAACAGCCCGAGGAGGCAGGTATCCGAATGCACCTTCCAGACACAAAGTCAGAATACTGTTCAGGGAAGGAACCTGCCCTCGTTCACTCAGCTGGAGACCAGGAGACCAACGCACACATCTGACCCCAGAGACCCCCTCACGGAGGAAATGCAGGAGACAGCCCTTCCCAAACCATGTCAGCTTCATTCTATCATGTTCTGGAATAGACGATGTTTGAGTGCCAAGGGGCCCGGCAGATGGATGCTGTGTCCCTGACAGGTATCTCCTGCCATGCCTCTTCCCCTGTGCTCCCACACATGAAAGAGTGAAAACTTCTGGTGCAGGGAAAAGAGTGAAACTTCTGGTGCTCAAGGGCAGAATGTCCTCAGGATAAGAGCCCAGGGACATTGTGCACAAATTGCCACCATATGCATATGCATATTCATATGTGCAGGTGCATAATAAACATAATGGCTAATAGTGCCTATGGGTTCCATGATGTTCTGAGTGCTTTAGATACATTAACTCTTTTTTTTTTAATTCAGGTATCATTGACATATAACATTATATGAGTTTCAGGTATACAACATAAAGATTTGATATTTATATATGTAGCAAGCTGATCCCCACTGGTAAGTCTGCTTCACACCAGTCACTAGACACAGTAATAAAATTGTTTCCCTTATGCTAAGAAGCTTTAAGATCTATTCTCTTACCAACTTTCAAATAGGCAACAGAGTATTGGTAAGTATTGTCACCATGCTGCGTGGGGGATGCACATCCCCAGAACAGACGTCTTTTATGACAAGAAGTCTGTATCTTTTGACCCCTTCCCATTTCAGCCCCCGCCTCCCCACACCCAGTACTTTATCCTGACAACAGCTCACCATTCTGATCTCAATTGATAAAGGAACTCAGGTGTAAAACCATTGCCTGACTTGCCCGAGTCACACAGCTGGGAGTGTCAGAGGCGGGGATGTTGGAAGGGATTCTGGCCAACACGGATCCCCGAATTCCTACCTGTGCAGGGAAACAGAGGTGCAGGCACCCGGCAGCCAAACCAGGGCAGGAGAGGGGTGGCCTCAGCTCCTTCCCACCTGAATTTGTGCAACCCAGAGGGAGTGAGGTGCTCCTGTCTCCCACTGTCTGAACATCCCTGACCCACGAGGCACCACCTACCCATTGCACCCCGCCCCCCGGGCCTCCTGCTCTCTCTGGACCAAGTGCAGCCTCCTCAGGAGCAGAGCTGAGGCTTTTCTTTGCAAGTGATTAGCAGGGGCTCACTGGATGCAAACATTTGGGCTTTAAATCAAGCCAAAAGGTGCAGAAGTGGCCCATTCGCAGGTGACCCAGGGCCTGTGGCCCTTTGTCCCTGAAGCTGTCCTGAGTTGGTGTTCCATAAATATGCAACAGGCCGCCACCCTTGCCATTTGCAGAGAGAGGAAGTCCGGTGGCTTATCACTGGCCAGGATGGTGCCAAGGAAGTAACACCGGGCTGCCCTGCAAGGCCAGGGACTCCTCCCTAGGGCCCCAGCATCTAGGCCCCACGAGCCCTCTGGAGCTGGAGGCTCACGATGAGGTCACAGGGGGCCCCTGTGCTGGTTTCAGCAGGGACTTGTTCTAACAGGGCTAGAGGAGGTCAGGCCTCCAGGACAGCTGCTCCCCGGCCCACCGGGCACACAGATACCAGGCTCTCCCCACTCCCCTCAGGGGCCCCAGCCCCTGTTGCACCTAGGGTCACCAGCCAGTTACACTGAAACTTCATTTTCCCAAGAAGAAACTAAAGTACCCCTCCTGTGCTGGATCGTCTGCCTCCCCCAGGCTTGTCACTGTGCTCCTGGGTGGGCCTCCCAGCACCCAGACGACTCAACGCTCTCAACACCCAGCATTTCTGACAGGGGAATGGGCTTCCAGGACCTGCTGCTCAGGGAGGCCCGCAGGGCCAGTGGGCACCTGAGCAGGTGGTCCACAGTTAGGAAACAGAATTATTCTAGATCCTGGGAACCTCCCTTAGTCAGGGAGCTCCTGGGAGCATTTGGCACTCCAGGGGTTTTCCCAGCAAGAGGCCCCCTGCTCCTCCTCTGCTACTTTATAGAATCGGGGAGCTGAGAGCCAACATGGACTGTCCAGGCCAATCTGCCCCTCCCACCCCCATTTCTAAAGCCAAGAAAACCGAGATTCAGAGAGGTGACCCCTTCCCCCAACTTCCCACAGTTCCTAAGGCTGCTGGCATAAAGCCAGGCCTTGGATTCCCAAGCCCAAATTCCTTCCACACCCTGAAGATCTTTCCGGCACACAGTCATGCTGGACTCCCAAAGCAGGCAAGGTGCACCCCACAGCCTCAGATGATCTGGGACTCAGTCCGGTGGGGCCTGAGCTGGGCAGGGGCCACAGAGAAGCAGACAGAGGCCAAACTCCCCTACTCCCCAGGCTTCCTGGACACAGGCTTTTAGTCCAGAATGTGGATTCCAGGCCGACTAAAGTTTTGCTGGGGAAATAAAATAATTGGGCAATTAGCTAGTGGCCAAAAGAAAAACACGAATGTGGATTGGGACACTTTTTACCAGGGACTCATTAGCCAGCAGGAGGGAGGCCAGCGGCCTTTGTCATGCACAGCCGGGTAGGGAAGCAGGCCTGCCTGCAGAGACTGTGGATCTGGGTGGACAGTCTGGTCTGGCAGTCTGCGGGTGGGGTGCGGGGTAGGCTCCAAGAGGGGAGCACAACAAAATCTTGCCTCTTCTGACCCGTGGGAGGGAAGACTACTTATAATGCTGTCTAAATATGCCCCTTCTCCCCAAGGCATGATAAGGTGGAAAAAATCCATACCATCTACCAACCTGTATTGCTCGGGATTTTAACGTTTTGCAAAGACTTTTTTTTTTTTTTAAACTAGGGAATGGTAAAACGGCGGGGATGGGGGGTGTTTTTTGTTTTTTGTTTTAATTCCAGTACAGTTAACATACAGTGTCCTGTTACCTTCCGGTGTATGGGAAGAATTCTATTTTAATTTTTTTCTTTAAGATTTTATTTATTTATTCATGAGAGACACAGAGAGAGAGAGAGTGGCAGAGACACAAACAGAGGGAGAAGCAGGCTCCATGCAGGGAGCCCGACGTGGGACCCGATGCCAAGTCTCCAGGGTCAGACCCTGGGCTGAAGGCGGCACCAAACCTCTGAGCCGCCCGGGCTGCCCAAGACTTTTATTTTTCACAGATATGTTGGGATGCTAAGAGTATTAACTGTATGAACGCCATACAAGAATGCAAATACCTTGGAACATCATGGGTCTGAACTACACAGGTCTGATTACACACAGATTTTTTCAATAGATAAAGTCCAGTGTTATAAGTGCATCTTCTCTTCCTTATGATTTTCTTTTCTTTTTTTTTTTAAGATTTATTTATTTAGAGAGAGAGCACAAATGCGGTGGGGGGCAGGCAGAGAGGGAGAAGCAGACATCCTGCTGAGCGCAGACCCCAACAGAGGGCTCTATCTCATGACCCTGAGATCTCAACCTGAGACAAAATCAAGAGTCAAATGCTCAACCCACTAACCCACTCAGATGCCCCCTCCTTACGATTTTCTTTATTTTCTTTTTTAAAGATTTTATTTACTTATTCATGAGAGACAGAGAGAGAGGCAGAGAGAGAGGCAGAGACAGAAGTAGGCTCCATTCAAGGAGCCCAATATGGGACTCAATCCCAGGACTCCAGGATCACACCCTGAGCTGAAGGCAGACACTCAACCATTGAGTCACCCAGGC